TATTTGACAATTAATGTGCAACACAGTTTTATGTCAATTAATGTGCCAATCATCATTAAATATCATTAAATTGATGATAAAAAAATAAATATTGGTAATTTATCTTAAAATAAACTTAAATTTTATTTTATGCCATATAGAAGTATAATATATTTATTATATAGTATTAATATCTATTAAGCTAGTTCAATTTTTATCATTACCGGTACATTTATTGCACCATGAACGCTAAAGCAATTATAGCAATTTTAATCAAAATTATTTAAAAATCTATTTTATAAATTAAACATTATAAAAATTTTAAAAACAGTTATATTTATAATTATTTTAAATAATTGTAAAAATCTATACAATAGTAATAAACATGCTGTGTATGTTATTTTTAGTTTAAAATGCAATTATATTGCATTGACAATATTATTGTACTTATTATAGCACACACTGATTGCTCTATTGTATTATATTGATATTTTTATTTTAGTTATTATAAATAAAAATAAAAATTTATATTATTATTTAATATTTTAAAGTGCTAGCATGTTTATTGGATCATAAGGTGTTATAGATGTACTTGCACAAATATTCGGATAAAACACTTTTAGTACATCGCTAACACATTATTTATGAATTAAGGTGTCAATAATCATTAAATATTATTAAATTCCTAATAGAGAATTGATATTGGTTATTTATCTTATAATAATCCTAAGTGGTATTTAATTTTATATAAATTTGTCATATAGTATTAATACCAGTTAAGCCAGTACGATTATTATGATTCTCGGTAATTTTATTGCACAATGATGGTTAAAACCTTTAAAAACAATATTAACTAGTATGATTTTAAAATATATTTTATAAATTCTAGATCAATTAAAAAATAAAATGCTAAATAATTNTTTTTATAAAGGTTTATACAGTTTTATAAAAAAAATTATTTTCATCGATTAGTTTAATAATATAACAATCACGGTAATATAATAGCTAACTCCATTGTAAGTTATAATATTTTATCAAGTACATGATAAAATTATGTAACAAAAATTTTAAATATTATATAAATATGAGCCAAAAATATTTATTTTAAATCATAAGTTATTTAATACAATACTAAAGTAACTTAGTAATTTTATTGAAACATTCACCATGAACCATTTTGTTATTGTTATATTCTTGGGTTTGTATATTATACAGCTTATATAAAAACTATCAAAAATAAAATTAATTTATTTTATATATTTTATAAAGTATTAAAAGTTAGTTTATATTAGTCTAAAAAATTAATCTTGAACATTTCAACACAGTTTTCAAATATACTTGAATATAATTTATCTATAATTTTAAATCATACTTATAGGCTATAAGTTATAGCTATGTTAAATTAAATGTAATATTTAATATACATTATAATTAAAATTTCAATTATTATTGTTACAGCTATTACAGCTACCGTAACGTCTGTGCCATTACCAAGCTCAGCCATCGAATGTCACCTACGTCATTTAGTGGCACCGTGCGCGTGCTACAACCCGGTCGAAAAGCACATAATTGTGGGTTGCCAAAATGACAACATGGACAATAACGATATTAGACGAATGTTTTACTTAATGACCCAAAAGTTTGTTTTGGAAACACTGGAAGCGGTATACCTACGCTCACCAACTGTCACGGAATTGTACTCAACACTATTGTCCGGTGTTCGCACCAAGAGCATCTACATCGAAAATATGTACTCGCTGAAAACCATCGACATCAACGCGTTTAATGGGACCGAAAAGGACATACAGCGCCTGGAGATCCGAAACACACCTGTAGGTCAATCGCTGGGCCCTAAGCACGATATGCTCAAGATCATCGATAAGATGGATAACTTGGAGCACGTGATCATTAGTAATACGAGTCTTGAAACGGTGAGTCAATTCGCATTTCTTAATAAAGAAAAATTACGTGAAATTCGAATGACCGGGAACAAAATTAAACGCATTGAACCTGTTGCATTTCAAAACCTGCCACAATTGAGCGTGCTTGATTTAAGCAACAACACCATTGATTATATTGGTACAAGAGCATTTGTCCTAAGTTTTGAACCCACCCCCGATGTTAAGGAACTGGAACTCCGGTTAGACAACAATAATCTGAATGATAGGTCATTTGATGGGGAGCACGTGTTTGATAGTAATTATGGTACGAGTTTTAATCCCGCAGTATGGTTGGTATTGGATGGCAACAATTTGATTAATACTCTGAGCAAGGACATATTTATGCCGTACTTTAATGCCAACCCAATGAATACAATAACAGTGAACATAGAGTGCGGTGATTGCAGTAACTATTGGTTAGTGTCCGGTGCTGTCGATCGTAAGCATACCCTAGAGATCACGTGTTATGGCGACCATAAGGATATAAAGTCCTATGATTGGTCAAGGTGCTAACTTTAAGAAATTAATTAATTTCATTTGTATTATGAATTTAATATGGAATAAAATATAATTTGAAGCATATTTAGTTATGAGTTATTTAAATATACCGATAAATTAAATATATTTATTGATCAAATACTAGTGTAACCTTTCGGACGGTGACAGGTATTTAGGGTAGTAATTGGTCTGCGAGTGAAAGTTTACCTGGCTATACATCTTGAATTATTTTACATGAACACTGTAATNAACCTTTCGGACGGTGACAGGTATTTAGGGTAGTAATTGGTCTGCGAGTGAAAGTTTACCTGGCTATACATCTTGAATTATTTTACATGAACACTGTAATTGTATTATACATAAACAATGATTAATTAATTGTATGCTCTTGATATTTAGTACCCAGGTACAGTTTAGTCATGGCTCACCTGTAATTAAAGGCTATAAATTATATTATAATATTTATATAAAGCTATAAATAGTTATAGTTAAAATTTTGTTAACCAATGAATATTATTATCTAGTATTTTATCTAGTCTAGTATTGTAACTTAAATTAATATGAGCATCACTATTTTAATTAGATTACCACACATAATTTGTCTTTAAATTTTCTAAATTACAAAATTTTAAACTCAATTGAATTATTACATTTTAAAATTAAAATCATCATATATTTGTCCATTGTCATTTATATAATATTTATTTTCTTGAAATGTTAGAATATTTATCTGGTCAGTATGTGTTATAGTCTATAACTTATAGATGTACTTGCACAAATATTCGGATAAAACACTTTTAGTACATCGCTAACACATTATTTATGAATTAAGGTGTCAATAATCATTAAATATTATTAAATTCCTAATAGAGAATTGATATTGGTTATTTATCTTATAATAATCCTAAGTGGTATTTAATTTTATATAAATTTGTCATATAGTATTAATACCAGTTAAGCCAGTACGATTATTATGATTCTCGGTAATTTTATTGCACAATGATGGTTAAAACCTTTAAAAACAATATTAACTAGTATGATTTTAAAATATATTTTATAAATTCTAGATCAATTAAAAAATAAAATGCTAAATAATTGGTTAGTTGTATTATAATATATTTAATTATTAAAAATAATTGCAAAAACATTATAACATTTATATGATTTAATTTTAAAGTAAATAAATGAACAAATATAAATTATCTGGCGGACATGGTGTAACAAAGTTTTAATCCTAGGATAACATTGATGAGATATTTATTTTATATTACGTAATTTAATGATTAAAATTCAGGTTTGAAACAGTATATAAATCAAATGGAAAACTATCATTAAATTATAAAATCATCATCATATTAATTAATAAGTAATATAATACAGGGATGACATTAAATGACTCCCCTACTTTGAATTAAAATAATTTTAATACCATGCAATTTATTTAAATATATTTATTACCAAATTGTAGCCGAATAGTTAGGATTTTGTTTGGTATATGACATGTCCAGGTAACTATCAACCAAAATTTTTTACAATGGGTATAATTTTAAACATGCCAATTTTTTTGTACTTTTTATGCAATTCATACGGGAACTGGCAAATTGACCTAAAAACCAATTGACCTAAACTTAAATAACTTAATGACCAATAGACTTTTGACCATTGTAAGGATAGTTAAGGTTAGGTTAGGTCAAGGGGAACATTTTACACTGGCCATCAGGTATATTTACCTACTGGTCATTAAGTTATTAATAATTTTATTAGTTTTATTATTAATGATAAATTGTTATAGAATTCTGCAAATTATTTAAATTATAAAACTAAGTCAAATAGATTTTCAAATTATAGCTTAATAACTTTGTCAGTAATCAGCAATTTCTTAATCTTTGTATACCGGGCTAAGTAACACAACTCTGCGATGGATAGTATTGTTTTCTCATCCATTGGGAAAGCCTTTCGAGATTCTTCTCTTAGAAATAAAACAATTATAACTAAATTAAAGACTAAAACATAAAATTTGGTTTCGTTTAGCATATAATCCCTGGAATTGATAAGAAACTCTGGTATCAACACAGGTTTGTCAACGACCGTAAGTCAGCACATCATGAGTTACTTACTGAAGTAACATCTGAGGTTACCTTTAAGTAGCCTCTAGAGTGAGCGTCACTAATTTCACCAGAAAAACTCTGCAAAATCATAGCCACGGCTGCCATACGAAGCCATTTCAAAGTCAAACAAAACTTGTCGATTGTGTGTCTTCGTGACCAAAACATTTCCTCTGAAGTGATTGTGAGAGAAGACTAGCGGACAGTCAGACCAATGCTTCCCAATGTATGCTATCATCCATTGGATCTCTCCTTTCAAATCAAACTCCAGTAATGACTCGCATTTGTTTTTCTCAAATAATAATTTTACTCATTTTAAAAGCTATCATTAAATTCATCAACAAAAGCGTTAAAAAAAGTTAAAATCCAGTTCTTATCACGAGCTACCGGTGCTTTGAGTGCCAGTTTTGGCCAGTTTTTGTGCCAACTCTTGTACGACTTTAGTGTCTTTGAGATCATTTCTGTCAAACACCCGGTGTTTGTAATACCGGAGCACTTGTCCGCTGGGGTCGAGTCCATACAGTTGCGGTCCTAAACCTGTTTGCGAGACCAGAGGCGCTATAATAGTGTCATTAATCGCAGATTCTTGGGATCAAAGTTTTTATAATCATATTTAGGACCATATAATTTCATAACAACTTCAGTTGGCTGTTGAGCTCCTGTCCATTAATGGCGTTACTATTATTGATTGACACAAATATATCTGATTAGTGAGACCTCCGGTCAGACGAGTGACACAAATGTCATGAGTTGNGTGAGACCTCCGGTCAGACGAGTGACACAAATGTCATGAGTTGTCAGTTGAGACCAAATGCCAGACAAATACTTGTGACACAAATGCAGACATTTCTCATTGATATCAATGGGTTGATCGCCTTTCACCCGATCCCCTGACTCTAAATATTGTGAAAGACCTGTCTTACTGTTCATTATTATAATTAATAAACAAAATGAAATAGTTTACGTAAAAACAGTATACAGATTTGAAATACTTTTATATCCAGCTGTTGAATAGACTTAATTAATTGAACTCAATTAATAATAATGATTTTGAGTCATAAAACAATTTTGTATTAGAAACTTTCCTTCATAAACAAAAATAAAAATATGATAGTAAGACATTTGAATAAAAAGTCATTTGTACGTAATTATGCAAATTGCTGCAAAAAGCATAATTGAAAACAGACTCTCATTTCCCGCATAAGAAATATACATTTAAAGCAAAATAAAATGTTAAAAGTTAGACTGCTATTATAGTTATTGTGACAAATGGTTTGCCACTAAATCAATATTCATGTGTTGCTTGGATACAGTTTATTGAAAACATTTCCCGAAGAAAACAATTGAGAATTAAAAAAAACAAAGCTTTCATTGCATTCATTAACAATGTCTTCAATAAAATGTTTGATTATATCAGTGAAGACATTGAGACCAGAAGTGGAGGACTATTGGCTGGAAGTGAGCGCTGATGTGAACACTGTATCCGATCTGAAGTCCACTGTTTTGGACACAAATGGCTTTATATTGAGTGCCGAAGACATTGACCTCTATTTGGATGGAGTGGTACTCAGAGACGAGACACGAGTTAATAGTAATGTGTTTACCGATAGAGATAGCATTGAAGTCAAAGGGAAAAGGGGTCGACAAGTGGTGGACACCTGTACTTCAATGAGTGTTGAGAAACACTACAACTCTATATATCCGTGAGTTTTATACATACAGTAAATAATTTAATAACGAAACTTTCAATTTCGTGCAAATCTATTTTCATAATGAGTTTCAATTGAGTTAAAAATTTTTACATATACCTATTTGATTAACATAAATTAAATTATTACATTTGACCAATAATAACCAGGGATAATAATATAAGTGAATCAACTCACAAACACACTACAGATGAAGATATCGAGGCAACAGATGTTTTTGTGGAAAGCCATGACTCGACCACAACCTCACATACCTCTCAATCTAGTGATGAACGAGAATATAGGGAACCGATGGCATCGAAAACAATATATAATCTGCGATCAAGACGTATGAACACAAAGTCCACAATCAATTATTGTGAAACTGATGGCAGTAGTGATGACAACCACACCGACATCTCCGACACCGAGACTTACGACGACTGGCACTCGGGTCCACACAAACAGACCACAAATCATGACAAGAGAGTGTCGTCTAATGAACTAAATTGTATCCAAAAATCAGACCTAATATCAAATGAAATCACGGATTTACTTAAAAAACAATTTGTTTGTGATTACGCCAAATGCGGTAAATCTTTTACACGATACTCACACCTTTGTCGACACAAGCATTCCGTACACTTTAAAGAAAAGCCATTTGTCTGCAACTATAAAAATTGCGGCAAAAATTTCACTAGAAATGAGCTCTTAGTTGCACACAAAAAATACACACATTTGCAAATAAGACCATTTGTATGTGGTTACAACAATTGTGGTAAAAGGTTTCCCAAAAATATTAAATTAACATATCATAGGCGCACTCATACGGGCGAAAAACCACATGTTTGCGATTATAAAAATTGTGGACAAACATTTACGAGTAATCATGAACTTAATAGACACACTAAAATTAAACACTTGGGTCTAATGCGATATTATTGCACTTATCAGGGTTGTAGCAAATATTTTAGCGCCATACCTAATTTAAATCGTCATAAACGTGCGGTTCATTTGCGTGAAAAGCCATATGTATGCAATCACCCTGGTTGTGGGAAATATTTCTCTCGAGAAGATAATATGTTTCAACACAAACGGATCATTCATATGGGAATGAAAAGATTTATTTGTGATTATAAGGGATGTCGTAAAAAATTCATGTTAAATAAAAGTCTTGTGCGACATAAACGAGTTGAACATTTGGGTGAAAACCCCATTTAATAGCGATTTTGAGGATTGCGCTCAAAATTTTGCTTTATAACCTGGGGTTTGTTATACCGGAGCACTTGTCCGCTGGGGCCGAGTTCATACAGTTGTGGTCCTAAACCTGTTTGAGAGACCAGAAGCACTATAATAGTGTCATTAAATCGCGGATTCTTAGGATCAAAGTTTTTATAATCATATTTAGGACCATATAATTTCATAACAACTTCAGTTGGCTGTTGAGCTCCTGTCCATTAATGGCGTTACTATTATTGATTGACACAAATATATCTGATTAGTGAGACCTCCGGTCAGACGAGTGACACAAATGTCTTGAGTTGTCAGTTGAGACCAAATGCCAGACAAATACTTGTGACACAAATGCAGACATTTCTCATTGATATCAATGGGTTGATCGCCTTTCAAGTGAGACCTCCGGTCAGACGAGTGACACAAATGTCTTGAGTTGTCAGTTGAGACCAAATGCCAGACAAATACTTGTGACACAAATGCAGACATTTCTCATTGATATCAATGGGTTGATCGCCTTTCATCCGATCCCTTGACACTAAATATTGTGAATGACCTGACTTGAATACTTATATAACCAGCTGTGAATAAACGCAATTAATTTAACTTCATTAATAATAATAATTTTGAGTCATAAAACAATTTTGTATTAGAAAATTATAAACATAATTAAAATAAAAATATGATAGCAAGACATTTGAATAAAAAATCATTTGTATTTAAGTATGCAAATTGTGATAAATAGTATAATTAAGAACAGACTCGCATTTCCCACTTAATAAATATACATTTATAGCAATAAAATGCGAAAAATAAAAAAAGTACGGAATAGTTATGTATTTTGTTAGGTTATTATAGTAATTGAGACAAATGGTTTGCCACTAAATGAGAGCTATTAATAACGGTTAATGTATATAATATATACATTATAAGTACATGTAATGTATATATACTATATATGGTGTATATCTGCAGATTAATTCATTAAAATATATTTATTGTCTAATGTTTTTTGGATCAAAACCACAATTGTATGAGCATATTAATCTCAAACGTAAAGTTATGAAAGTATAATTTTAATAAAAAAGATATATACTGTATAACATAAATATAGTTTTTCATAAATTAATTTTACAGATTATATTTTATCTATTTATTTAATATAATATTAAATTCAAAAATATATTAAATAATAAAGTTTATAATAAAAATAACTGTCTATTAACATAAGAAATTAATTGAATAATAAAACAAAATAACAAATCAATATTCATGTGTTGCTTGGATACTGTTTAATGAAAACATTTCCCGAAGAAAACAATTGAGAATTAAAAAAACAAAGCTTTCATTGCATTCATTGACAATGTCTTCAATAAAATGTTTGATTATATCAGTGAAGACATTGAGACCAGAAGTGGAGGACTATTGGCTGGAAGTGAGCGCTGATGTGAACACTGTATCCGATCTGAAGTCCACTGTTTTGGACACAAATGGCTTTATATTGAGAACTGTATCCGATCTGAAGTCCACTGTTTTGGACACAAATGGCTTTATATTGAGTGCCGAAGACATTGACCTCTATTTGGATGGAGTGGTACTCAGAGATGAGACACGAGTTAATAGTAATGTGTTTAGAAATAGAGGTAGAATTGAAATCAAGTGGAAACCGGGTCGACAAGTGGTGGACACCTGTACTTCAATGAGTGTTAAGAAACACTGCAACTCTATATATCCGTGAGTTTTATACAAAATCATTATCAAAGTAATATAGCCTTTCAACTACGGTAATTATGCGTAAAACTATTTTTATAATGAGTTTCTATAGGGTTTTTATTTTAAAATGATATTATATAATTTGTACCCATGTTTGATTAACATAAAGTAATTTATTACATTTTGCCAATAATAACCAGAGATAATATAATAAGTTAATCAAATTATAGGGAAATGACATTTGAAAAGATCGAGGCAACAGATGTTTTTGTGGAAAGCCATGACTTGACCACAACCTCACATACCTCTCAATCTAATGATGAACGAGAATATAGGGAACCGATGGCATCGAAAGCAATATATAATCTGCGGTCAAGACGTATGAACACAAAGTCCACAATCAATTATTGTGAAACTGATGGCAGTAGTGATGACAACCACACAGACATCTCCGATACCGAGATTTATGACGGTTGGCACTCGGGTCCACACAAACAGATTACAAATCATGATAAGAGATTTACATCTAATAAACAGAATGTTAGGCAATATATTACTCAAAAATCAGACCTCATAGCAAACCAAAGCACAGATTTACACCAAAAGAAATTTCTCTGCGATTACGAGAGTTGTAGTCAAACTTTTACACAATACTCAAGCCTTTGTCGACACAAACAATCGGTTCATTTTCGAGAGAAGTCCTTTGTTTGTGGTTTTAGCGGTTTATCTCGTAATACAGATTTACATTTTCACGAGCAATGCACGCATTTAAATGTTAAACCTTTTGTCTGCCACTATAATAATTGTGGCAAAACATTTGCCTTAATTTCTCTACTTATAATTCATAGGCGCACTCATACGGGTGAAAAGCCGTATGCGTGTGACTATAAAGATTGCGGGAAAACATTTACTACAAAACAATGTCTTGGTAGACACCATAAAACAAAACATCTAGATTTAGTGAGATATGTTTGCAATTATAAAAGGTGTAGAAAATATTTGAGCACATTTCATCATTTAAATCGTCATATACGAGAGGTACATTTGCGTGAAAAGCCTTTTGTTTGCAATTATGATGGTTGTGGCAAATGTTTCGCTCGACAATCACTGATGCTGCAACACAAACGGGTCATTCATTTGAAAGTAAAAAGATTTATTTGCGATTATAAGGGATGTCAAAGAATTTTCTCGTTTAAAACGAGTCTCGTTCGCCACAAACGAGTTGAACATTTGGGCGAAAAGCCATTTGAATGCGATTATAAGAATTGCGGTCAAAAGTTTGCTATGAAGAGTGACTTGACGGAACATAAGAAAAGGCATCAAGGTATTAAAAAGTTTAAGTGTAGTTATAGTAATTGCGATTATAGTTCTGTAACAAAATGGGAAATAAATCAACACATAAATTATAATCATTTGTCATAATACTGTATGATAACAATTATTTTATTCTCATATTTATACATGGTCAAGTCCTAAGCCATTTGCAACCATTCATTAATTTTAAACTTAACAATGTAATTAATTACTTAAACTAACATTACCTGAAATATGTTATCATTATTGATGGCATTGTGTTGCTTGGATACTGATTGAATTATTTTTTGCAACAATATCACAATTGAGTCAATATATTAAATACAAACACAGAGTATAAGTTAAATACTACAAAATACTGTATGTTTACTAAAAAAATATTTCTTAAGCTAAATTTATTTTACCTGTGATTGTAATGATGTATTTCATAATCTTTTTCAGGATAGTACCAGTATACAATATATAATAAAAAGTATTTACTTATGACTGGATTATATTGATTTCAATAAATGTGTTAATAACAAATGATAAGTCAATTAATTGTGAACTTAATAAAGAGGTTTTTAACATCTACTGAATTAATCCTTTTAAACTTATATAACTTATACAGTACTGTACACTAACTGCAATAATTATTGATCAGTTGCTTGGATACTGTGTCATAAAAACATTACTCTTAGAAATTATTAAGAAGTTTCAAACAAAGCTTTTCATTTACATTCGTTAGACAATGTCTTTAGTAAAGAGTTTGATTATATCAGTGAAGACATTGAGACCAGAAGTGGAGGACTATTGGCTGGAAGTGAGCGCTGATGTGAACACTGTATCCGATCTGAAGTCCACTGTTTTGGACACAAATGGCTTTATATTGAGTGCCGAAGACATTGACCTCTATTTCGATGGAGTGGTACTCAGAGATGAGACACGAGTTAATAGTAATGTGTTTAGAAATAGAGGTAAAATTGAAATCAAGTGGAAACCGGGTCGAAAATTGGTGAGCACTGGTATTAGAGCCGGGAATAATTGTAACTCACTATCAAATTCAACGTAAGTTATACATAAAGCATTCTTGATTAAGTCTTTAGATTAATATATAAAAACATAGTAATTTTTATTGACACTATACAAATAAATTTGTATAATAATAGTGTTCATCAATTTAATCACTAATTAGCAATTAATTTGAAAAAATGTTTTTATATAATTCTCCTTGATGTTCTTTTTCAGATTATTTATTCATCTCAATACTAATACATCTGAAACAACACAACCCACTGATGAGATAACAGATGTGTTGGACATCAGCAGTGAACAGACCCCAGGCTCTGGTCCGCCAATATCTATCACATTAAGAGATAATGAATGTATTAATAAGTCATTCAATACCGACTCCAATGATATGATAAGTGCTTTTTCAGAAGAAGTGCCGACAGAGGTATCCGAAGTTAGCCCTCAGTTGACCACCAGTTCCGACTCAAGTATCACACATATTGACCAACAAACTGAAAAACCTATAGCCCGGACAAACCACTATTGTTTGCGTTCACAATATCTAAATAAAAGACCTGTCGCTAATTATTGGAAATTAGATTCTTGTGATAATGACCAGTGCACTGATGTCTCAGATACCCGGGTTGTTGTTGACAAGAATACAAACAAAATTAGTCCAAAACATAGCAATTGCTTGGGTTTTGACAATAATAAAAGCAAACAATTCATATGTAATGAACACAATTGTGGCAAAAACTTTGCTACAAAAGCAACACTTATTCGCCACAAAAGACTACATTCGGGCGAAAAGCCATTTGTTTGCGAGAAATGTGGCAAATATTTTGCATTTAATTTTTGCCTCAATTCACACACGAAGTCAGTGCACGCACGCGAGAAGCAATTTGTTTGCCATTTCGAAAATTGTGGCAAACGTTTTGCCCTGAACTATTATCTCAAATCACACGTAAAGTCAGTACATTTCGGCGAAAAGTCATTTATTTGTGATTACCGTAAGTGTGGAAAAGGTTTCTCTAAAAGTTCACACCTTGTTACACATAAAAAGACCGTACATTTTGGGGGAAAGAGATTTGTGTGCGATGTTGAAGGCTGTGACAAAAAATACAGTCGTATTCAACATCTCGATGATCATAGATATGTCAAGACTATGGGAGAAACATCATTTGTTTGTAATTATGCCAATTGTGGTGAAGTGTTTTATTTAAACCGGGCACTCAATTGCCACAAACGAAACGTACATTTAAAACATCTAAAACCTGTTGAGAAAGAAAAGGATAGTTTTGTCAAAATGCTTGAGTGTTATTATAGTTATTGTAATAAATTATTTGCCACTAAATGCGACCTAACGGCTCATGTATATCGTATACATTTGCAGATTCAACCAGGTAAATGCATTTATTGTCTAAAGATTTTTGCCACGGAATCACAATTGAATCATCATATTAAACTCAAACATAAGGTTCTCAGAGTATAATTAAGATTACAATTAAAATATCAAATAAATTTCCCTACCTGTTATATGTTAACCGATAATTGTTGTGCTTATTTCATATATCAAATCTGTAACTAATGTATATTATATTTATGTTATTAAAAAATAATAATACACTTCAAACCCTATATCTTAACAATAAGTTATATCATTATTCACGTGTTGCTTGGATACTGTTCTCTAAGAAATCTTTGAGAAGTTAGAAACAAGCCTTTCATTTGCATTCATTTACATTCATTAAACAATGTCTTCAATAAAATGTTTGATAATATCATTGAAGACATTGAGACCAGAAGTGGAGGACTATTGGCTGGAAGTGAGCGCTGATGTGAACACTGTATCCGATCTGAAGTCCACTGTTTTGGACACAAATGGCTTTATATTGAGTGTCGAAGACATTGACCTCTATTTGGATGGAGTGGTACTCAGAGACGAGACACGAGTTAATAGTAATGTGTTTACCGATAGAGATAGCATTGAAGTCAAAGGGAAAAGGGGTCGACAAGTGGTGGACACCTGTACTTCAATGAGTGTTGAGAAACACTGCAACTCTATATATCCGTGAGTTTTATACAAAATCATTATTTCAGTACCGGAAATACGACTTGATTGTGTGTATTTTCAATACATTTTAAAACACTATATCTTATGTGTATTTTGTATTCAGTTATCATGTTTTAATTTTTAATGAAAAATCGCACATACCTTTGGTACTTCTTGCACTGATTTATCAAAGTAATATAACCTTTCAACCAATGTGTAAAATATTTTAATAATGAGTTTCAATAGGGTTTCTATTTAAAAAAAAACTTCAATAGAAAATTTAAAACTAAATACTGGGCATTTAAAATAATATAGTTTGTATTTATATTAGATTACCATAAATTAATTATAATATATTTGAATATAATCATTTTAATATAAATATTATTTTGTCAATACTTACCAGGAATAAAAATATTAGTGAAACAACTCATAGACACACAACTGTTGAAGATATCGAGGCAACGGATGTTTTTGTGGAAAGCCATGACTCGACCACAACCTCCGATATCTCTCAATCTAATGATGAACGAGAATATAGGGAACCGATGGCATCGAAAACAATATATAATCTGCGGTCAAGAAGTATGAACACAAAGTCCACAATCAATTATTGTGAAACTGATGGCAGTAATGATGACAACCACACCGACATCTCCGACACCGAGACTTATGACGACTGGCACTCGGGTCCACACAAACAGATCACAAATCATGATAAGAGAGTGACATCTAATGATTGGACCACCAGTTCCGACTCCGGGATAACAAATCAGAGTCATCAAAGTGAAGTACCCATAGCTCCAGAAAACACATATTATTTGTGTTCACGATATCTAAACACAAAACATGTCGTTAATTATGAGGAACCGGAGTCTAGTGGTGATGACAAGTGCACTGAAGTGTCAAATATTGAAACACTTAGACAACTGAACTCAAGACAAAACAAACGTTACGAAAATGAAAGCAAAGAATTTGTATGCAATGAACAAAACTGTGGTAAAAGTTTCACAACAAAGTCAAACCTTTGTAGACATAAAAGCCTTCATTCAAGTAAAAAACGTTTTGTATGCCATTATGAAAAGTGTGGCAAACGGTTTGCCACGAATCATTATCTCAAATCGCACGTAATGTCAGTGTATACACGTGAAAAACCATTTGCTTGTGGATATCGTAAGTGTGGTAAAAGGTTCACTAAAAGTTCCCACCTTAAAAATCATATGACCGCACATTCAAGCGAAAGGCCATTTGTATGCGATGTTGAAGGCTGTGGCAAGAAATATAAACGCAATCAAGATCTTCGTTACCATAAATTCAAGCATTTGGGTAATCAGCCAGTTGTGTGTAAATATCCAAACTGTGGCAAAAAGTTTTATTTCAAATGAAGTCTCAATGTACACCAACGAACCATACATTTAAAACAAAAACCTAAAGTGAAACAAAGGGACAGTTATGTTAAGATGTTTGAGTGTTATTATAGTTATTGTAATAAATGGTTTACAACTAAATGTGATTTAACAGCTCATGTAAAACTTATTCATATGCAGATTCAATAATTTAAATGTTTATACTGTTTATAAACTTTTGCAATTAAATCACATTTTAATCAACATCTTAAACAGTAACACAAAGAACTCTAATTATAAACTGTATTGTATACTATAAATGTAATTATATACTATTCAGTTGAAAATGAAATAAACCACAAAATTGCTTTTTATAATTATACTATAATTGTATTATTTCATATAAATATGTAGCATAACATATAAAATCCGTTATAATAAAAAATTATTCACAGCCTTTTTATATAACAAGTCATTTAAATTTTATTCAATATCAATTTATTTATTAAACTTAAAAACAAACAAAATTTTATTAAATAAATCAACGCATACATTAAAATAAACTTAAATTTAAAAAATTAATACAATAATAATAAGATTAAAAATATTAATACAAATCAACACTCTATGTTTTAGCACAATATTTTAAAATGATTTGATTAATACAAACGCAATCAATAAAAATAATTAATATTGAAACCTACAATAAAAATACATATCATTTGACAAAAAACAAACTAAACTATATTTATATAATATTATATAAAAATCGATTCCGTGTCACAAAAATAATACATAAATCATTACAAACTTCTCTAAGAATTCATTTTATAGCTCTTAATATGAGTTATCTCTAAAGTGTAGGAGTTTTTGAAACCGCGTATAATTTTGCTCTGATATTCAGCCGGTATATTGCGGGCCGACCTGAGCGTCCAGGCGATGGGCAGATGGTCGTCCTCAATGAAATAGATGGGGTCATTGAGGGGCATAAATGAGCGCTTTTCGGGCGACAGTTCCTTCAGACACTTATCCAAATGGGACTCAACGGCTGTTTCGCGAAACTTCTCGACGATAG